TATATATATATATATATATATATATATATATATATGTGTGTGTGTGTGTGTGTGTGTGTGTGTGTTTGTATAGCTTCTTCGAGAGGGCTTTGACGTGAATATTATGAGGTTAACTAAGAAGGGAGGAAGGACTCAACACTGTTCGTTTATTCTTAACAAACTACAAAGTTCGAGAAAATCGAATCTCCCACAGCACCATTTCTTTCCGTCATTTTCCTTCTTGATATATTTTTTTCATTGTATTGGCACCTGTTCGCAAACCATTGTTGGAGACCACTGATCAAATCAACACGTATATTCAGCCTAAGCTTATATATAAATTTAATACCATAATATTATTGAAATATATTGCTACAACACGAATAAAACTGCCATGAACATAAAATTATGAATAGTAAATCGATAAACGAACGTAAGTTCATGTGCTGCTGTCTAACTCAACTGGTTGAGTATAAAACTTTAAAACACTATAACTGAAGTAACTAATAGGCAGCTAACAAAATAAGCGAGAAAAAAAATTAAAATACCTAGAAGTAATAAGAAATTGGAATGCAACACCAATGTTTTTCTGACACTTGGATAATGATTAGGAAAGACAAATGCTTAACACGATTTTAAATCTGTGTATCAACTGGTTTAATGTCTAACTTAACACAATTTCCTTAATATTTTGCCCGAACTTGCTTTGAATTTCTTTTCCGTAATTACAGCCTTAGAGAAATCTATATCGTAATCCACTTTTAACACAGTTAAGTGACTATCTTGCTCTACGTGTTTCACTTCTATTACTCTCACTAAGCGGCTACGAAACGAAGGTTGAAATGGGTAACCAGGATTTTGTCAATTTTCTTTAAAAATAATCCCTTCAGAATATATCGGTTGGGAATATAATGAAAGGTTATATTCCATACGAAAACTCTGATAAAAACAAAAGATATCATGGGATATATATATACCATTAGTTTCTAGAAACTGGCAAAGAAAGTAAAACTTTTAAATACATGTTACGTGCTACAATTTCGAATGGTTTGAAATCGAGCTAAACGTTAGTTTAAATTCAGTAGTTAAATAAATACCGATATGTGTCCAATTTATGATATTTGTCAACAAGATTGATATACACAGTTTCTTCTTTAGTACAAATCTGTTTTAATATATAAACAACAATACAATTTACAATAACAGTTATTACGAAT